CCTCTCAGAGCAAACTTGCGCAAATTAAATACTACAAAAAAAAAAAAAAAAAAAAAAAAAAAAAAGAAAAAAAAATTCTCCAACTTGCACGCTCTGCATTGTTGCAAAGGAAATATTTAAATTTTGACTCGTTTCGCATAGGATAAGACTTCTGTCGTCCATGCGCGCAGTGCGGCGCTACGAAAAAAAGTGGCACACATGGCAAACGTCGCAAAAACAGGTATGTTATCAATTGCGACTGCATCCACGCCTGTGGAGGGGAAAATTCCATCCTTTCCCAAATTGCCAAAAAAAAAAAAGTGAATTCAGTGTTTATGGCTGATCGCAATCGAGATGAACAAGATTGTTCCCAAAAACGTTGCATCCTTTTTGTTGCTGCCCTCCTGACGGATAACAAAATCGCATATGTGCAGAGTGGCTCAGTTACGTTGCACAGGTGAGGCGGATGTATTCAATTTCGAACAAACGTGAAAAGAGAGAGAGAAAAAAAATAGGTTTATTACGCTTTTTTAATTTATTCCTAAGAATGGGCTACTATTATTGATGATGAATAATTCCATGTAAGGCTGCCGGATTGATTAACACAATTGGGGTGTACTGTCCTTTGCTCCCATTGCTGAGTGACCATGGTTGTTCGCCCGCAGCACATAATATACTGTTGAATAGACCAAAATGACCTGCAGCACACGCTTTATTTGAACTTTCTTCCCCTCGTTGATCACACGAAGTGATTTCATTCGAAGTGGTGGTCCACCAAATAGGTACCACTTGCGGAGATATTAAACGTAAAGTGGTACTCAGACTCATTGGGCAGCTCCAGCTTACAGCGGTTCACACTTCAGCGTAAAAACGCACCTTTAACCGTTTGCTTTGTCTAAAGATATTTAAAAATACCAGTCATCATATAAACAGTTTGGACTTAATCATATATATGTGGATGAAAAAAGGGATCATCGTGCTTTACGTCGAAGGATAAAAAAAAAAAAAAAAAAAAAAAAAAAAACGAAAAAAAAAAAAAAAAAAAAAAAAAAAAAAAAATAGGACGCAAAGCAATCAATATGATGATGGGAACATGCGACAAGATGTAAAGCGGGTAACCACATCGCAAGGGGGGGGGGAAACGCGGCCAATTAGCAAACTGGCAAAACCGCGTAATCGTAAAATGAAGAATTTAAAAAAAAAAAAAAAAAAAAAAAAAAAGCCACAATTCATCAATGAATGCTTTTTTCACATGCACACACAGGGGTGGGGGAGCAAATTGAAAACTAGGAAAAGACGCACGTAGGATAATATATGTATGCGTAGGCCCACGACCCACACCTTTTCATAATTCCATCTAACATCATGCGCGTGTGTGCTCATTAAAGGGGTCGACCTTTGTGACAAACTGCTGAGGTCTTCCTCGCACAAATGCGGTGGGTCCACTCGAACGTGCAAATAAACATTATCGAGAACGCTTGCAAATGGTTTCGGCACCGTTCACACAGCATTCGCGAAAAAATAAAAATGACACGAAGGGGGGGCTAAAATAAATGAAAAATTGCAACGTTACAACGTTGCAAAGTTGCAATGTTGTGGATGGCCAAAAAAAAAAAAATATATATATATGTAGCACAGGGAGCTCGGAGACACACACTTGCAAAGGTTGCAAAAATGGGATACGCGAGGACAAGCAAAATTTTGCCACATCGACAGGATGTGTGTGTGTCGGGGGGTTCATCGGATAACCCCCGTGCCCTTTATGTAAAGGTACGCCTTTTGCTGTCATATGTTGAATTATGCCTGTGTACATATTTGCTTATATGTGTGCATGCACAAGAACGGGGCCCTGCTGCCCATTTCGCCGCTATGGTCGCTTCGAGTCGGTATGGTGGTTTTTTTCACCCAATAATTTTTTTTTTGTTGTTGTTGTCTCCCCTGACGCATTCACAACAACATGGAGGGCGTAATAATTCCGGGGTCCTCCGCCATTGAGTACTCGGAGAAGTTTTCCTTGTGGTCAAATGAGGGCAAAATGTCATTATGGATGAGGGAGTCTATCAAGACGTATAATTCGGCGTAGGGCAAATCAGTGGGCAAAATGCATCTTTGAATATAATCACCAAAAATGTTGAGGTAAGGAATAATTTGCTCCTCACTTTTGATAAGGGTTAAATAATTTAAGTGGTGCTTTATACAAATTTTGTAAATATTAACATTTTTATGAAGCATTGGAATGTTTAATTCAAGGATGGTTTCCAGGTCATGCAAAATGAAGAGGATAGCATCTCTGCAGAGATTAATTCTGGTATCTTTCGTTTCTATTTTGCTGGGATTAATTTCGTTACTGCTACTACTGCTACTGTTATTATTTTTAATTGGTAGTTCGTTCGATCCTGAGTACTCATTTTTATATTCATAATTATTTAAATTTTCCTCACCAGCTTTTATGGTCATTTTATCATCCTTAGACCAACTGTCTTCATCGCTATCTTCGTTAGAGGGTTTTTGTGAATTTCTAAATGCAATGGCTAATTTTCTTGCACCTTCAAAGCCATATTTATTAACAGAGAAGATTCTTTCAATTCGCTTACATTTTTTGTATGCTTGTCCTACCCATCCCATTCTTTGTGGAGTGGAATTAAACCACACTCCTCTAACCTTCGGCATATTTTTGCTCATGGACAAATATTTTATTCGTAATTCTTCCACAGATGGTCTGCTAGTTTTGGCTGTCTTATTCACACAGGTGGGATTATTACTACTTTTTTTTTTTTTATTTATAAATCTGTCCCATACTTCTCCTCTTATTCTTGCTTTTTTCCATTCGATTGCTAATCTTTTCGCTTCTTCACATCCATGTTTTTTCACTGCAAAACTTTGAGCACATTTAACACCGTTTATTTTATGTTCTCCAAACCACCTCTGTGAATTTTTGTCGTAATAAACTCCGGGAATTCTTTTCAGTTCATCATTTTCTTCCTGCATCATTCCTCCCTCTCCATTTGCGTCTCCTTTTCTTGATACATTTTTTGTGTAACCTTGAGGGTTGTGTGTGGGGCAGTTGGACAGCGTGCAGATCGATATGTCAATTTCATTTTTTGTGCTCGACCCGGTGGGGTTTGATGGTTCGTTGGGCACATCACTGGTCAAACCGACCATCTGGTCAGTAGCTGATCCGCCAACCGAGCCGCTAATCGTTTTACTAATTCCTCCATTAGTAGCATCACCTTCGAGTGCTTCCTCCTTACCCTTCGGTACCATTCCACCGCTCACCAACTGCTGACCAAAGCCCTCTGACATTTTAACCGGATCGGAGAAATTGGAGTTACACATGGTTTCATCCTTAACCCTAATCATGCCATCGTATATGTGGTTCTTGTTACCATTAATACCACTGTGCTCATCCTCCATATTATCAGAGTCCACAAGTCCCTGTGAGAGTGATCCCAAATTTAAGTTCAAACTATTGGTTCTGTTGAGTAGAAATTCATTTTCTCCCTTCATATCATTAGGATGCAGCATTTTGTGTGGGATATGGTGGGCCATATCGGCTCCTTTATGATCCGAACGGGACGAGGATATTTTCTTGTTCAAGAAGAAGCTTAGATATTTTCCATTCTCATTGTTGCTCTTATTTTTGAATAGGATGGTGTCAACAAATTGTGTGTTGTTAGCGCCCGCGGATTGTTCCTTTTCGTTGATTCTGTCTGCATACTCCTTCGCAGAACCCTCCACGCGCTCGTTGATTCTTCCTTCCCAGGGGGCGTTATCGTTACCACGGGTTGTGTTTGCGCGATTGGCAAGATTTCCGCTGTGCTCATCGAGACCGTCCACAACCAACCCGTAGGGCAAATTGGGGTTGCTGCCAAACACATCGCTCAATGGAGTTCCCTCGGCAACCCTTACCAAATTGTTCTTCTCCCCATGCACCTTATTATCTCCCATTTTTTTATTCAAGTTCATAATATTTTTATTTCCTTTAATAACTTCCTTTGTGAGGTACTCCATGTTGATGGGAGCGTTTTGAACAGCTTTTAGCCCCTCTGCGTCGTCTTGCCCATTCACACTCATAATATGGTTCTTAATCTTATGGTTCATAATTTCCTCATTGCTGATGTCTTGGTCAACCAACTTCATCGTAGTGCTGCTGCTATCATTCATGCAGGTTGCGTATGTCGTTGGTGTGTTGTTATACATGCTACCCAAATTTCTTTTGTCATTTTTTTTCTTCTTCTTCTCATAAGAACTGTAGTTAGTTCTGTTCATTTGTGAACTCATATTAAGATTGCTGGGCATGCTTTCATCCAAGTGAAATTTGTTTGTCAATGTATTGGAAGACATATCATTAAAGCTGTAATTGTTGGTGCTTCCCTTGAGGTTGTCATTGCTATAGCTGCTGCTCGTACTGGTGCTTAGTAGGTTACTTGGGAAGTTCGTGTTCAACTTAAAGTAGCTGTCGTTAATTTGTTTCAATTCATTGCTTCGCATAATATCGGCTAAATACAATTTCTGCTTTTTTTCATCATTTGTCAAATCACACTTTTTAATAAATATATCATCAGATTTGAATTTGTTTATGTTACTTGAGATTTCTCTACCCTCATCGTCATATTCGTTTCGTACGCTAACTAGACTAAGGTCTTCCTCCTCGTTTTCCGTTCTCTTCCTTGGGTAAACACACTTGTTCATTTCCACGGGTGAGTGTGGATCATCCTTCATGCTTACATACTGCATCGACTGCTTCTTCCCCTCGGGGTGAAACATTCCGCTCGAAAATTCTTCACTATTCCCGTTCGTCTCTGCACCCCCTTTGTATCCACTGCCGAGGCTGCTGCCCCTACCAACATTGCTATAGGGAAAGAGGCGGTCATGGGTACTTCCGATTATGTCCCTTCCATACTTCTCCATCTCTTTGGCCATTTGATCCTTTCTCTTTGATACATTCTTCACTGCGTTGTGGCCATTATTATCCTCGTTATGGTTCTTGGGTCGTTTTCCCCTTTTGTGGGATCTGCCACCCAACGGTCCTCTCGCCAGGCCTTCCTGTACCAAACTGTTATGTGGCACACTATTAATGTTGTTGCTGTTCATCTCGTCTGCGTAATTTCCTTCATTCCTTCCACTACTAACAACAGCGCTGCCCCTATCAACAGCACTCATTCCATTTTTTGTCCCTTCATATGTCTCATACTTGTCGCTCATACCTTCACCCCCCCGTTGTAACGCTTCCTCTTCTCTACCTCTTTCATTTGCAATATTCATGCTTCTTTTGGATCTCTTGTTTCTTCTCTCCTTAGGACCAAAGTTTCTTGCGCCCTCTTTTGCATTCATTTCGTACAAGTGCGCCTTCCCCTCGTCATAAGCATAACCAGGGTTGCCCCCCAAATTGTGTTCCTGGTGGGAGCCTATCATCTGTTGCAAAGTAGAACTGGTGTCAAAGCACTCGTTTGAATTCCCGCTTCTCATATCACCGATGGGGTAGGAAGTGTGTTGAACTTTGAATTCGTTTTTTCTGCCCCTTTTCATATTTTGACCCTGATTGAAGTAGCCTAAGCGTTCGTCTTGGTCACTCTGCTGGACCATTCTCCGACCACTCTTGGGGAGGTTCTTTGTGCTATTTCTGGTCCCCACCTTTGCCTCATTTCTTGAACCACCTTTTGATCCATCCTTTACAACCTCTTGCTGAGCCGCAAGCATGTCCACGTACTGTCCCTGGTGCAGTTCGTCCTGCACAGCGTTCCCTTCTTCCTCAAGCAAAAGTCGCATGCTACCATTCTTATCTCCAAAGACGCAATTCTCTATCATACTCAGCAGCTTCTTCTTTGTAAGATCATCAATTTTGGAGTTATTTTTTATGTTAAAGAGGGCTTTGCTTATTTCTTCATAGTTGTTCAGGTGGACATTATTTTTGTTCTTTGTAAAATGATCCATCTCCTGCTCAACATTGTTTATGTCTTTTGTCGGTGCAGAATTAGAGCCACTTTTCAAATAATCCCCTTTATTTGAAGCTTGCTTCAATTTTCTTTTAACATCATTCAGTGCACTTATAAAATGTTCATTCCATTGGTTGGAGTAATTCTTTTTATCCTTCTGTTCGTTTTCATGTATCTCTTGCGCTTCGTCTCCAACGTGAGAATTTGTGTCTGCATCCATTTCGTACATGTCCTCCAGTCCTCTCTCTTTGTTATGGCTATATCGTTCCTGCATGTACCGGGTGGGGGCGTTATTTCGCGTGTCACCACTGTGGTATGTTTTCCCTGATGGGACCTTTCTCAACACGTCTACTTGGTGCGACTGGTGAGATTGACCAGATTGATGAAATTCCCGCGATGAATTTTGCTGACCATGAAGGTGGGCATGTTGTTCGGGGTAATCCAAATCGCTTCTTTCGTCATATTCGTCATACACATGTCCCCCTTTGATCGATTCTTCCTTCTGAGATTTTCCCCCTGGGTATACAAGTGTGTCCTTCATTTCGAAATTAGCCGAGTCGTTCCTTTTCTTGTGGTAGTTTGCCCCATCTTCACAATTCGTTTGAACACGAGCATCTGAGCTTACATTGGACAGATTAGAACATTCGTTGGACTTCTTCAAGTAGGTGTACTTTTCACCCTTCACATTTCGAATACGTGATGAGAACATACCTCGGTAGTTCACTTTTGGCGGCGGCATTTCCTTATTATAATTTTCGTCACAGTTATATTGGACTCCTTCATTTGCTCCTCTGGTGTCAATCCCCTCCTTTGTGTACATTCCGTTATAGTTGTTTACACCTTGGTTGTGGCCGACTCCTCTACCGTCATAATTTATATTAACCAATTTGGCACCTGTTTTTGTGTCATGATTTTTTTTATTATTGCCTTGTACAAGTCCACACAAATTGGCCATTGCATTGTTAACGGAGAATACATTGGCAGAATTTTCTCGACCTTTATTGGTCTTCTTCATCATGCCAATGTTATAATTGGAGAAAGCTGCTGCTTCTTCCTCGTTGTGGCCAAGACCCAACAAGTTGCTACACTCCCTCTCAGGGTACTCATCATTTTCATAAGTGTCATTGTTTCCGTTGGATTCGACTTTACTTTTCCCCATTTTCCCTCCACTTATGAGGTAAGCGGGGTTACTGCAGCTGTTACTGTTACTGTTATTGTGGTTGTTACCCACTTGGTATTTATTATTCTCTGCTGCCCCGCTAGAATACTTTTGTTGCGATTTCATCAATTCGATGGGGTTGGCGCCTGTACTGTTAATGGCATAATTGCAATAGTCGTAGTTATTCAAAGAGGAATTCTCTTTCATTATGCATTCGACATGCTTCTGCAAATTAGCTTCGTTAGAGATACTTGACCCGGACAATTGGTTACCACTCTGGATGTGATCTTGGCCTGTGTTAATTTTATTACTGTTTAGTGCCATCTTGGACGCGTTATTTTCACGCATAATGTACATGCCCGCCTTGGAGTAGTCACCCTCCTCTTCATCATGCCCCAAAGGAATGCTTTCCTTGCTCTTGGTCAATATGGTCTGCTTCTTGTTTCCTCGTTTGTTTACTACCACATTCACCTTGCCACCACTAGACATGAGCATGCTGCGCGAATCACTAGCACAGTTCATATCTGTGCTTATCACCTTCTTGTAGTTTTCATCATTGTTGCTGTTCGCCTCAGAACCATCCGCAACACCTCCCATGTTGACGCCAAAGCTCATGCCCATACTTCTGTCTACTCGGCTACCATTATCCCCACTAAAATCCTCTCCACGAAATTTACTCAAATCCTGAATTACATTCTTTGCATAACTAGCACTGTAGTATTTGTTGGAAACTCCCATTTTGAATTTGTCTCCTCCCTCATCAGCACCGTCACCAGAATGTGTTTCTGTATTGAGCGTGTACACCAAGTCCATGTTGTCTAGAATTCTCTTGGCCATATCACTGCTGAAATATTGGTCTTCCTCGGTAGCCATGAGCTCTGTCCCTTCCACGGATTCATTGGAGCCACCGCATCCATTCCCGCTATCTACACCGTAAAGCGTTTCTCCGTTACCATCACCCGAGTCATAATCAACACAACTGGGTGCAGTGCCCGTTGTACGCTTTGAAAAATGTTTTTTCTTTTCCATCATACCGTCTTCAAAATGGCCACTTACACCTTCGTAGGCCTTTTTATGCTCCACAAAATGGCTTACCTCGTTGTTTTCTCTTCCTTGGTAAGCACTAGACGATTCGTTGTACCCTTTAACAAAATCACCACTGTTCATCTCATTGCAGTGGTTTTGTTTGTCCTGATGGAGGAGCTCATCTGTGGGCATTTGTCCTAAGCCATTTTGCACACTGGTTTTATCGGCATACATCGTAACTGCATCGCTCAAATCTGCATTCGCATTATTTTTTAAAATATTCTTATACGAGTTGATCTCTCTATCCTGTACTGTGTCCCCTTGTATATTACACTTCATACTGAAGAGTTTCATTAATGATTCGTTTAGGTTGGAGTTGGAGTTGAAGTCTGTTCCGTCATTGTTCGCCGCTTCACCAACACGTACACCCTTTTCATACATGCCTGCTCTTGTATTGTCATTCAGATTGCTTAAATTATCTATATATGCATATCCGTTATTAAATGTTCTATGGTATACACCTCCTTCATTGAGCACAGCATCTGTTCTTATTTTTCGACCTACTGGATTTCCCAAATTGTATGTTGCATCGTCGTCATCGCCCGGACCCTCTAAATTGTCATTTCCTTGCTCGTCATAATTCGAATAGGCCACATTGCCCTGATTTGTAAAATTTTCATTATCATCGTTTTTGTCCGTATTGTTTCCTTTGCCTTTTCTTTTTAACTTTTGCACCTTTGACAATTCTTCCTTTGCACACATTTCATCATTCGTTTGTTGAAACATTGGCACGGATGAGGGGTACACACGGAGAGAGGGGGGGGGGGGGAAGGACAAAATTCCAGTTCAGTTATTCGATCGCTTGGAGACACACTCGAGATAGAAAATGTTACTCGAACGAAGAGGGGGTGAGGTTCTAGAAGTATACGTAGGCGACGTATAGTTTGCAGGCACAATCACACAAATGCTATGTGGGCTAAGCAAATTTCGATCGTGCGACAATATATATGTATGTATATAATTAAAAAGGTAGTATTTACATGCACAAAGTTGTACAGAACGAATCGATCGGGCTGTATTCGTCGGCTAAAGGTGTGCATCAAACGGTTTATCTGTGCACTTATATTTATACGCACTTAATATCGCTAAAAAAAATTGTAGTATTTTATTATACACCAAAACAAAAATTTTGTTAATGGCCGCAGTGCTTGACGCCTGAGCCACACTTTTTTGTGAGCTTGTACACGAGTGGGCAATGGAAACGGACAGTTCTACAGAGACAAGTGCGCATAACGCGTGTACAAACCGGATCGCATAAAACAAGTGCTCACATAACAAGAGCGCATGTACTACAGTGTACACACAAATGTCCTACATGGACAGATTATGCAGACACTGATGGAAGAAAACCTTTAATTAAGTGAAAAATAAACACAGTCATGCATTAATTTTTAAGATTGCTATGCTGGCAAGACAACAACGAGGGCTAGCCGCATTGTGCCTTTCCTCACCAAGCCATACGTTGCTTTTCTGTATAGATATATGCACAAGCACAAATATAACTATTCTATTGCAACATAGGCGACGGCAAATGGAAAAGCTGAAACAATGGTGTAGTGAATATTCAAAAAAAAAAAAAAAAAAAAAAAAAAAAATTAAACGTTGGTAGGGTAAAAAATGTGATATTTTGACAGAAAGATTCATAAGTAGTATTTCTTAAGGTTAAAAAATCTTAAAAATTGTAAAGGACGCGTTCGCTAAAACTTGCGAAAGTATCGCGAAAGGGGTACGAAAAAGGGCTGGAAAAAAAAAAAAAAAAAAAAAAAAAGGACAAATGTGAAGTAAATCATACACATCGAACTATGTGTAGTCCAGTGATTGGCTTATCAGCGCAACACTCGTGCGCCCTTTTCTCCTTCACGGGTTGTAGGTACGCATGTACATAAAAATATGCACGCAGCATGCATAATGGTATTCATAAGTATATTAACAATTTGCTCGTTGCTCACATACATCGTGATATGCAACTTGCTCGTGTGTATACTAACAAGTTTGATAATCGAAAAGGCGGTCCCCTGTTGTGGTCTTTACAAAAAGACACACATAAAGTAAAGCTGCATGTGCGACGGACACATGAACAACTGAAAGGATACATGAAAAAAAAAAAGACATTAACGAGGTTTTATCAATTTATTTTTGACAATTTATGGTGTACAAACATATAACACCGTTGAGGGGGAAGGGGAAACAACGAAATGGATAAACAATAAATGTGTAAAAAAAAAAAAAAACAATAATATTAAATAAACGTAAAGAGTTATTTGTAAATTAAAAAGGAACTCCGGAAAATTACACAAAAATGCACAGTTTGTTGCAACAGTTAATGTATTCTATATACTTTGCAACTGTGGAATAAATGCACATTTATGTAGGAAGTGAATGCTTGGCAACATTCTTCACAATTGTACTGTTCTACAATTTTATAAATTTAAATACTTGTAAGCCACACAGGTGTGTATGACGATGGGGACAAAAAAAAGGCACATACCTCTTTGGACTGATTTAAAAAAAAAAAAAAAAAAAAAAAAAAAATTGTAAAAAAAAAAAAGGGGGGGGGTAGACGAAGAGAAACAAATCTTCTACGAAATGTTCATAAAAAAATACGAGAAATAATAAATGACCATTTGCCACATGGCTAAAAGTGCATATTTCTTTTAAAGAAATATTTTTGCAGTTTGCATGAGCTATAAAACATTTTGGCTTGCTTTCACAAAAAAGCTGAGTAAAAGAAGGGTATGACTAAAAAGGGGGTGGTGGTTCCGTGCACACAAATTTACACACAAAATGCACACGTACATAAATGTGTACACACATGTACAACAAATAACGTGAACAATAAGAATATAAAGGGGATGCAAAACAATTAAAGCGTATGAATTGTTTGTAATTCTCGCGTAATTCATAAACTTTTTAGTGGCGTTCTTTATCGACCTGTGGGCAACACGTAATTACATGCACATATTACACAAAAAAAAGGTACTAATGTGCACACAAGCAGGGGTGGTGATGATGGCGTATACATGTGTCCGTATGCACATATATATATGCACTGGGACATGTACAATTTTGTGCACTCGTACATACACAACTTTTGACGTGTGTACGCGCACTTCCATATGTTCATTTACACAAAGTGAAGTGTTGTTGACATAAACGCATGGAATACGAAATGGTAAAAAATATGGGTGTCGAAGGGGGGAGGCAGCATTATATGCAAATGGGCATGCTAAATACTAGAAAAATTACGAAAAAAAAAAAAAAAAAAAAACAAGGATAATTAAAAAGAATTACCAGTGTAAAACTGTTTAATACAATTTGTAGAATTCTAGAACTTAGCGAAGTTTCGACAAAATTTTTGAGATTGGTCTTCACATTCGAGTGCACAATGTAATCGTTCTTACATTTTATGTAAAAAAAAAAAAAAAAAAAAAAATTATAAAACATAAAACGAAATGGGGTGAAGCCAGATTTGTGTAAAAACAATAAAATAAAAACATCAACGAAAAAAGTTTTGTACACATATAAAAGGGATGGGATATTCTTATATGGTACGTATGACACACGAAAAATTGAGCAAAAAATGTGTTAAGCATATATATATACACACACGTATACGTATTCACATAACACACTTGTGAATGCACTCATTCGGCAATCCACAATGGTACCAATATACACACGTGTGTAATGGATAAATACTCTTGTAACATAGCTACACGCATTTACATAAAATAAATGCGTGTGTGCGCGTTCTCATACACAAAATACATGTAAGTATTTTATGAAAACTGTTATTGACGAATGTGTAAAAGGAATAGGCAGCGGGGGGAATCGAGGCATGCAAATATGCATAAATTAATTCTTTATGCATATGTTTGGAATATGAACAATGGGCGCACGAAAAACAAAACAAAAAAATTATATCACCAGTGGTATTTGCTAACGAACTCAGCAACTATGAGGTGAGCTTATAGGCGCAAGGGAATGGGCAAAGGTGTACACAAGGGTACATACGCAAAATAATGTATATGTATTCATATGTATGCATATGAGTATGCTTAAGCGTATGCATATGTAACATCATGCGCACGAGTAACACAATTGTAATGTATATGCTACTCCATGTTTTCTCTAGCATTTTTTGCGCTGGGCTTTATGTTAGATTTTTGTACACCTCGTTTGACATCCCACTGGTGTTTTCATAAAATTTTGCTTATCATTTTTTTTTTATTTTGGTATGTCACACTTTGTGTATTGTGTTTCGTGTATTTCGTTATTCTTCCCTCCGTTTGTTTATTTCGCTCGTTCGTTGCGTTCATTCGTTTCGCTCGGTTATTCCGCTCGTATGTTTTCTCTTTTTATTATGTTTTATTTTTTTTTTTTGGATAGTTATCCCTCGCAAATACCGCTTTCACACTTTGCGTGTATTTTTTTTTTTTTTTTTTTTTATTTAAATTTATTTTTTTTTAGAGCATCCGCGAATTTTTGCTTGCATATTTGCATGTGTGCATGTGTCTATCAGGTAAGGCACCACAAAAATTACACGAACGTTCAAGGCAGAAGCTTTGCAAACAACTTTGTGAAGCTTCGCAAGTATTTTTTCGCCTTTCTTAAAATTGAAAATTGCGTAACTATAAATAATGCGCTGTGGAGAGGAGCACCGGGTCAGCGTGTACGCTGTGCGGTGTATACATGCGCGCTGAGTGCATAGGTATATGTATACTACTCGTGCCACGCGTGTGGTACTACTGTGCATATGTACATAAAATACTACGCGCAAGAAAGTAATACTGCGCATGTGCTCAGGGCTGTCGCGCGACACACAAGCATCCCCACATGCTTGTATACTGCCCAAGAACATAGCGCCGCGCGGTGGCATACGCACGGACGATTATACATTCGCGGGAGGAACGTGCAAAAGAACTTCCGCGAGGTGATACATAAGTAATAGCGCAAGTACATGCGAACACACTAGCGAACATAAATACATATACTCTTGCGAGAAAACTCACATGACTTTAAACGTACAATCGTGTAAGTTCTATTAAAGTGATAAGGGTTAAACAAAATGGTAAAGAAACGCTATTTTGTGTTAACACACTAAGTTTTACAAAAGTGAAAAGCGTTTTAAAACGTTAATACAATTTGACAAAACATGTACAGTGTTAAAAAAATAGCATGGAAAAAAAATGTATTTTTAGAATAAACATCTTAAAATGTTTATCTGCAGAAATGCTGCATTTGTGTTTTACTTTTCTTTTGCATTTGCTTCGATTTTTTTTTTTTTTTTTTTTTTTTGTT